ACTCCCTCCCAAACGAGCCAGCACACCTTAAACCAGCAGGCAGTGCTGCGAGCTGTCGATCGCTTCTGAACACGTCGGGGTGCCGTTATGTTGGAGTGCGGGGGGGCGAGTTTCGTTTGAACGCAGGTCTGCTCGCACACAGCCCGCGCGTGCGCACGCCCTGCGGTGGGTCTGCCTTTCTGTGATACACCTACCGGCTTTCGTGCGCAGCGACTCCCTGCGGATTTTACTCTGAGGGTGGGCTTATGACTCAATTTCTTTTCCCTCAGAGTTTTTCCTAACTGCAAATTCGCTGATAAATGCTTGTTCATCCACCCAAACTGTAAATACGATGCCAAGTGCACGAAGCCGGACTGTCCGTACACTCATGCCAGTCGACGGAATCCCCATCCGCCTCCTAAGCCAGGTGAGCACCTCCTGTTTTTCAGAGCTTTAAATGGAATCACTGAAGGGAAAACGGCATGGGAAGCAGAAACCTGCAGTGGTAGAAAAGTAATGTTTTGCTTGATTTCATAGAATCACAGAATGGTTTGGGTTGGAAGGGACCTTAAAGACCATCCAGTTCCAACCCCCCTGCCACTAGACCAGGTTGCTCAGAGCCTCATCCAGCCTGGCCTTGAACACTTCCAGGGATGGGACAATTGTCTTTCAACTCTGAATGCTGGATGAAGAGTAATAATCCAGTGTTACTGCAAAAACTGTTAACTCCCTGAACGCTGCCATGCAGCAGCCCCTTCTGCGGGGATGAGCCAGCACGGCAGTTTTCCTTACCCGTTCCTGAACTTGGGCGCATGTTGTACCAGGAGCTTGAGGCACAAACTGAAAACGGAGGTGTCAGTCTCCGTAGGAACACGCTGTGCTTCGGTCATGCTGCCAGGGTTGACTTCTGCGAGGGTGGGGTGACTCTCGGTGTTGAGGTCGCCTGGTGAAGGCAGTGGCTGTGTTTGGATTACGGGTTGGTATTCCGGAGCCTTTGGGTAGTGCCAAGGTGGAATGCCTTGACTCTGCTGAAGTTGTGATCCTTTGGATGGGTTTAGCCCTTGTCCTGGGGCGATGCAGTTCTGTTACCAGGCCGGAAGGCAACGTGCTTCTCTATCAATTCCAGCAGCTCCCCCGCACTCCTGGGAAGCGCTCTGCCTGCGCGTTTCACCCCGGTTAGCCTCAGCTCCAGCGGGCTCGCTGCTGCCAGTTGGAGTGTCTCTGCCTACGGCAACCTCCGCTTCTCCTGTGGGAAGCGTTGCCGTGACCTTCTGCCTTGAGACGGGGGAGACCCGAGAGCAGCGGGTGCCTGGCAGCCGCCTTCGGCCGCAGGGTGAGACCCGCACAGCGCCTAGGGATACGCTTCCCGTATCTTGCAGAACCGTGGTGCGTTACCAGAGGTAGTTTCTTATGGAGGGATTGACCTATGGAAGTGTGGGTGGAGTTGTGTTGAAAAGCAGTTTGTTCTCATCTGGGCTCACCGCCTGTTTTTTTTCTTTCCTGCTGTCAGCACCGCTACCCCCACCGTCTGCACCCTCCAGCAGCCCGCTCTGCAAGTTTTTTCCTGCTTGTAAGAAGATGGAATGTCCGTTTTACCACCCAAAAGTAAGCATCATCTCCTACTTCTTCCCTCCCTTCCTAGAAAGAGATCTGAACTACATTCCTTTGTGTCAGGAAACGTCGCTAGCACGTCACGCCTTTTGCTTCCCGTGCGTTGAGCTCGGAAGCAGAACGCGCAAAAGCGGGGAAGAACGTGGGAAATCAGGTTTCTAAGTGGCCTCTTCCCCAGGTGCTTCCGAGGAGTTTCTGACAGGCAGCCGGCTGCAGCGTGCGCCAGGGCACTGCCCAGCCGGGACGCCGGGGGCCGAGGGGGCAGAGGCCGTGTGGCCTCTGTGGGAGGAAGGTTCTAGGCTCTCCACTCGTGGGGCAGGAGGGCGGCCGTGCGCAAGAACTCTGACGCTTGTCCCGCTCCCCTGCAGGATGTGACCGTGACTCGGGCAGGGCCAGGCTCTGTGACTCGGGCGCTGCGGGAGGGCTGTGTCCCTGCCTGTTCTTACGCCAGTAAGGCGGGCGCTTTCCGCAGCCCCGGCAGTGCCCAGGGCTCTGCTCCCAGATCCTGTCCCATCCCAGACAGCGCAGCTCTTCGGCCCTCATGCTCCCGCCTCCTGTGCGGGGAGCACTTCGCGTGGAACTCCGAACCCTGAAAGCCAAGGAACTTGTGCCCGTTGGCGCATGTGCGCTTTCCGAGTGTCTGACTGGCGGGTTCCGCTTTGGGGGAAGGGGTCCTTCCGTCGTTGGGTCGAGCCGGTCGCAGAGGGGCTCGCTCGGCGGGCGGTGCTGAGCGGCTGTCCCTTTCAGCACTGCAGGTTCAACACCCAGTGCACCAGACCCGACTGCGCCTTCTACCACCCGACCGTCGCCGTCCCGCCCCGCCACGCCCTCAAGTGGACTCGAGCCCAGAACAGGTGAGACACGGGGCGCGTGTCCCCATGTCGTTTTGGGTAGGTTTCGCATCCGCGTCGCGACGTAGGTCGCAAGCGTGATTTCGCTCCCAGGAGTAACCTGCGTGTGACGAACAGCGAGGGTTGTAAGTTTTAAGGAGCGCTCTGCTGTTTGCTTTCCGTAGTACAAACGCCAAGTAATGTGTCCACCCCTGCGTGGGGAGCGCCCCACGAGGCGTTGTGTTTTCCGAGTTTCAGTCAAATAAAGCCGAAGGTCCAACACCAGCTCTTCCCTGCTGTCGTTCCGTCTTTTCCACACGCTGTGCAGGCGTGTCTGGCAGCTCCTGCCTGCCTTCCATCCCCGACTCCGTCAGCTAGCGCGGCTGCAGCCGTGGCCCGACTTCGGGTCGCCACGTGGCGCTCGCTCCCGCTCGTCCCATCTGGAAGGGTCTTACCCTGCAGGGTGGGCTGCAGATCCCGTCTCGGATCGTCTCCGCGGCCCGGTGGGGTGGTTCATTGTGTGAATCGTTCTTCTCTCTCCCCGCAGCGAATGACTGATCCGGCTCCGGCCTCAGCTTTGCCTCCCCGGGACGGCAGCGGAAGGGAAGGGCGACCAGTGGGCGCAGGTTGTTAGCAAAAATTGTGCGTTTTGAACTTTTAATATACATCGTTTTCATAAAATGAGGCTGATGCCATACTTGAAATGTCTCTAATTTTCCAGGTTTGTAAGTTTGAGCAATTTTACATTTTTTTTACGCTGTAAGAAGAAAACGTCTGTGTACGAAAAGTTTTACTTTAAATTCCATTAAAAACTTACAAAGCACATTTTTTGCATTCTGTTGGGGTGGCGCTTCTTTCTCGGACCCGATTCCTGCACGCGGATCAGCCTAGATGGAAGGACACGGTGACTGAGCCCCTCCCCCGCTCCCAGGGAGAGAGGGGAAATGGTGCGGCTGCTGGGCCCGTTTTCCCCGGAATCCTCAGCCCTGACACGTTCTCAGACGGGGGGAAAACCCAGAGACGAGGGACCAGAGAAGCAAGAACAATGGAGACGCTTGAGCAGTAGCGTAAATGGGGATTTTTTTATTAAATCGTATCAGTAGGGGAACCAGTAGGGGAACTACATTTTCACAAAAATATACAAAAGAATTTCTTTTTACAAATATTTACATTCCACAGCGGAAAACCGACTTTAGCTACATCTTTTTAAACGTGAAGTTGACAAATACAGTTCTGAAACTTAACACTGCAGGAAAGTATTTTTTAAGGTGCGTGGGGGGTTTTTTTGTGAAATAAGGTACTCAAAGTTCATAT